AGAAGAAAAGAATCTTACTTTAATCCTGTAAGAAAAATAAATTAAAGAAAGAGGATGAGAGTAGGAAGAAATGAGATTAGATAAGTAAGCTGAAATCAGATCACATCAGGGATTTTATGTCATGGAAAGATGTTTATATTTTATCCCAGCTAAAATAAGAGCACTTTGGAGGGACTTAGGCTGAAAATTATATTATCTGATTGATGTATTTAAAACATTACTCTGGCAGCAGAAAAGAATATGATTCATGATGGTCTACAGTGGGACAGGGGTCAAGCCAAGAGTAGAAGCAAAAGAAAGATAGGTCATTGAGCTTGCTTAAGAAAAGCTTATACTGGCATCTATTAAGAGGGTATGCATATGCAATTAATAGAGAAAGCCCATTACTATCCTCTGTATCAGCAAGGAATAAATAAAATTTAATATTCAAAGTATAATGCAAAATTAAGGTGAATAACTAAAAATATGTCAGTACAGATCTAAGAAAGTAAGTTTTTTATGAGGAAACATAGATATTATTAATGAAAAAATAAAATACAAAATGAATAATGGAAATATATTCCATGAAATAGGTATACTCACAATATATTCAATGTCAGTTCTCCCCAAATATTCATTTTCCTTTTCTGTTATTATTTTATTATTTTTACCACATCTGAAAGTTCTCAGGTTTTAGTCCTTGCTCTGCACTCAGGAATCAATTTGAAGGACTCTCAAGGACTCTGAAGACCATATGTAGTGCCAGAGATTGAACCCAGTTCAGCTACATGATAAGGCAAGTGCCCAACAGATTGTACTATAGCTACTGCCTCAGATTTCCCCAAATATTTCTATAGAATAATAAAATCCAATAAAATGATAGGATTATTTTGAGTATATCAACAAACTAGTTCTAAAATTTACACAGGAAACAAAGTCCAGAATTTCCCATGCAATTTTCCTTAAGAGCAATTTAGAAGGTTGTCACTAGGAAACTTCAAGATTTACTAAAAAACTACAATACTTAAAAAAGTGTAGTATTGGTGTGAAATATATACACTGAAACAATAAATCAAGTATTATAAAGACCTATAAAGAAAGAAACATAGAAATAGTCTCAACTTATTTTGCCAGAGGAACAAAGGCAGTTAACTGGAGCAAAGACAATACTTAAGTAGTATTGGAATAACTAGACATCCATATTGAAATGATCTATTTGTACACTTTTATAACTATCACAAAAATAACTCAAAATATATACCATGTATAAGTGGAACACATAAAAATATGAAAGTCTTAGAAGAAATTACAGAAAAAAACTCTGCTATCCATGACCACACGCACACACACACACACACACACACACACACACACACACACACACACCTTTAGACACATTTCACAAAAAAATTTCTCTGGTGCTAAAAGAGGTGCACTTTAGGACTAGAGAGATGGTACAGTGGATAGGGAACTTGGCTTGTACGTGGCAGATGTGGGTTTGATCCCCAACATTTCATATGGCTCCCCCAATGCTCTCCAGGAATGATCTCTAAGTACACAGCCAGGACTAAGCCCTGAGCACTACCAGATGATGTCCTCTCCTCCCCCCAAAAGAAGGTGAGCTTAGTAAAACTTTAAAAATCTGTGCAATACTTTGAAAAGAGAATGAGAAGTTAAACTCCTGAATGAGAGTTCTCTATATTTATTATAATGTCCAAAATTCAAAGCACTCATAATAGCAGATAACCAAGCTGTGCAATAAGAAGAAAATTATTTATTTTTGATAGGGTTGAAACAAGGCAAAGCAATACTGGAAACAATTATAAAATACAACAATTTCTTGTGATAAAGCTTACCTAAAATTTTTAAGTAACTATAAAACAGGTTTCTAGTCCTAGAAACCTCTTCCTTTAAGTGATGCTTACCATTTTAGTGAAATGATAATGCTTACCGTTTCAGTACTGCAGAAATGAAACAATGATTATGAATTTTAAATGAATAGAAAATTCTCTCCTCATGTGGAATAATCACTTAATCACTTAACTTCCCGTTAGTCGTCGATTTGCTCGAGCGGGCGCCAGTGACGTCTCCATTTGTCCCTGTCGCGTGCTAGTGTAGCCCAATGGCATCTTTTCGCTCCAGGAACATGGAGGGCCTCAAACCGATCGTTCATGATCTTGACAAAGAAGTCTGACCATCTGGTAGGTGGGAGGCCATGCGGTCTCTTGACATCCCGTGGAATCCAATCAGTAACAGCTCTAGTCCAACGGTCGTCTTTAAATCTCATTACGTGACCAGCCCATCTGATTTTCGACACCTTGGCATATGAGACAGCGTCCCTGATCCTTGATCGTCGACGGATGTCAGAACTCCGAATTCGTTCTCTCATTTGAGTGAAACGTGATATTCCAAGCATAGCTCTTTCTATTCTTCTTTGGGAGACCTGAATGGCGTTCTCATCTTGTTTGCTTAGGGCCCAGGTCTCTGAGACATATGTTAATGCAGGAAGAACAGTGGAATCAAAGAGATGTGCCCGGAGCCGGAGGTTCTTCGTCCTCTTAGCTATTTCTTCGACGTTCTTGAAGGCGTTCCAAGCCGCTCTCTTCCTCCTGTGCAGCTCGGGTGCCAGGTCATTTCTCATGTTGACCTCTCGACCTAGGTATACATAGCTGTTGCATTCGGAGATGGTCGTTCCATTGAGAGCGAATGGGGCGTCAGGAACAAGGCTGTTTCTCATAAACATTGTCTTCGTAAGATTCAGCTGTAGTCCTACCTTTCCACACTCACGGTCAAAGTCGGCCAGCATTTGTGCCACTTGGCTGATGTTTGGTGTTATTAAAACAATGTCATCAGCAAAGCGGAGGTGGTGTAGTTGCCGACCATCTATCTTCACTCCCATTCCTTCCCATTCCAGTCGTCGCATGATGTTCTCGAGGGTGGCACTGAAGAGTTTCGGTGAAATGGTATCACCCTGCCGCACCCCTCTCTTGACATCAACGATCACTTCTTTGTAGAATGGTGAGATCCTGGTAGTGAATCCGCAATACAGCTCACGGAGGATCCTGATGTATTGGGCTTGAATGCCCTGATTGGCTAGGGCTTCAATGACCGCTTCCGTCTCAACAGAATCAAAGGCCTTCTTTAAATCAATGAACGTTAAGCAGAGTGGCATCTTGAACTCCCGAGAAACCTCAATGAGCTTGGTTACCGTGTGGATATGGTCGATGGTGCTGAATCCTTTGCGGAACCCGGCTTGCTCGCATGGTTGTCCTTCATCTAGTGTTCTGCCAATCCTATTCAGGATGACTCGAGTGAACAGCTTGTAGATGACAGACAATAGGCAGATCGGGCGATAGTTGCCAATGTCATGGATGTCTCCCTTCTTGAACAGTAGTACGGTCCTGCTGGTTTTCCATTGGGACGGAACCTTGCATTCAGACAGGTAGCGAGTGAAGAGCTGAGCCAGTGTATTGATGAGTACTGACGGCAGGTTCTTCAGGTGTTCAGGTCTGACCTTGTCTGGGCCGGGTGCTGTTTGCTTCTTTACCAACGAAATGGTGTGTCGGATTTCGGAAGGGAGAACGTTAGGAACGACATACCCATCCTGTGGAATTTGGTATGTCGGCAAGTGGACATGGCTATCGAAGAGATTTGAGTAGAAGTCATGGATAATCTTCTCCATTGCCGTTCTGGAGGATGTGATGGATCCATCAGGACGTCGGAGGGCAGTCATCTTGGTCTTATAGTTGGTGAAGGACAGGCGGGCGTTACGAATACTTTTCCCGGCTTCTGCCGCATCTACCAGTACTTCTGCTCTTCTCTCTTTGAGGTCTTCCTTGATCGCATCTCTGCACTGCTTTGCAAGCTCGGACGTTAGCTTGCGGTTGCCTGAGGCATGCGCCAAACCACGCTGGCGAATTAGCTCAAGAGTTTTCGAAGATAGGCGACTTTTTGTGGCTATCTCTCTCTTGGTGTTCCTCGCACATTCATGGAGGTGCTGAACCAGTCGATCATATTCCTCGTCAATGTTGTCAACAATGGCATCTTCCCATGTTGCCGCAATAGTACCAAAGAGTTCCCAGTTGGTGGTCATTCTGGGAGTTCTCTTTTTGAACTTTGCAGCCCTTTCTCCCCGCTCTGTGAAGTAGAATTTTGCACGAAGGAGACGGTGGTCCGAAATTTTGGGACAACAGCGACATCAGTCAGGCAAAACCGTCGATTGAATATGATGTGGTCTATTTCGTTATGGAATCGTCCACCCGGAGACTCCCATGTCCATCGTTTAGATTCTGCCTTCTGGAACTGTGAGTTACCATGAATGGTCTTGGTCGACATGATGAACTCAGACAGTCTCTCACCCTGTTCGTTCCATTCTAGGCCATGGGTCCCGATGTGAAGTTCTTCAGCTGATCTTCTCGGTCTTATCTTGGCATTAAAATCACCCACAATGATCTTCTAGAAGGTGTGGTCTTCTTTATAGAACTTCTCTAGCTCCATGTAGAACTTCTCGATTTCTCTTTCATCATAATGAGATGTTGGTGCGTAGACAACGAAGATAGAAACTGCAGGCAGTGAGCCACATCTATTCAAATGTAAACGTCCGATTCGGGTTGTTAGGCATTCGAATGAATCAATGCTCTTGGCCAAGTTTGTGTTGACAAGGACACCGACGCCTCCAACACCTCTTTTATCGCATGTTCCGAGGAACAATTCTTCTCCGGTGTCGAAAATGGCATGGTGAGATTCGTGCCTTCTTGTCTCGGTCAGACCAATGATGTCGTACTTGATCATTCGCGCTTGTACCATCAGGTCCTCGATGGATGCATCTGATGCTAGCATACGTGCATTGAAAGTACAGACGATCATTTTTGTCTTCCTTCGTTGTGGCAGCCTAGGTTGGCCTTGAGATTTTGTCGGCCTCTCCTTTCTCATCCTTCTCAGTGTTGCCATGTCGGTGAAGCCTTCAGGGTCAGGTGAATGAGACCAGTTGTAGTTACTGGTTTTGGCATATCGAATACACAGCGCTTCGGCAGCACATATACTAAAATTGGAATGATACAGAGAAGATTAGCATGGCCCCTGCGCATGTGGAATAAACTATAGATAAATAATATTTTCAAAATTATGTGCCCATTTAAAAAAACTACATTCTTTCAAATATCCTTTATTATGTAATGACTGTGTAAAAAAATACCCACTCTGTCTTTCACTCTTGATTATACTATGACTTTTGTTGTCTAAATAATCAGAACTTTCAATTAGTTTTTCATGATATTCATAAAAAATAATTGAATAATTATTCATGTTAATTTTCATGTGAAAACTCTTGCTAGGATTTAAAAACAAATTTCTAATATCTACAACTATACAAGAATTAGAATAATCCTGGACAAGGTTCCAGTAGGAATTTATCACTCAATCTCTTCCCTTAAAATTAAGGCAGCTAACATTAGAAATAATTTTGTATGAATACCCAGAAATTCATATCATCAAGAAACAATACAATGCAACTCAATTATAAAAAAAGGATGAAATCTTGCCATTCCTAACAAGTTTGGTGAACTCAAAAGGTATTATGTTCAATAAAATAAGTCATTACTTCATTCATATTGTATTTATATAAAGACTAAATGAATAAATTACCTAAATAACAAAAAAATAACTGATGGTTTCATTAGAGAAGGGACAGGAATGGATAATGGGTCACATGTAGGGTGAAGGGTAGAATTTTACTTTTAATGATGAATTTAGTGTAATACATAAACATATAAAATTTAAATGATACATGTGAAAATTTTATGACATTATATATATGAGCATGTCTATCTCAACACAAACAATTAAAAAGGCTTCTTATCATTATATGGGAATATTTATATCTATGTCAAAGTCTGTTGGAAGTGGTGCTCTTCCATAAATCTCATATTATGCTACAATTTCTGGCCACTCTTTCTTAACTTTTCTATTAACTTCTCCTGTTAGAATGCCACAACCCCGGTATGACAACTTCTTTATTAATTCTGTACTATTTGGTGGATGGGAGGTCCATCACTTTTCCTTTCTAAGTTAGTAATCTATCCCAACATTATAATCAATTACTATGAAGAAAGTCTGTATCAATATTATATTTTACATTTTCTGTACTAAGCTGACAAAATCTAACTGCTCAAACTATTTCTCTAGTATACTAAGAATGTGGAATGCATTCTGGAGAAGAATGCACTATTTCATGATTGAACTGTCTTTAATGTGAGGGCTACAAACCTTAAGTGAGCTCTCAGTATTTCCTAGTACTTTTCTATCAAACATTCTTTTCCCACTGTCTCTCTCTATACATTTTCCCCATTTCTATTGATTTTCCATCATGTTACTATACTACAGAACCCTAGGGCTTTAGATTTATTCCTTCATGTGTGTATATACATATGTATGTATGCATATATATATGCATGTACATATATGTGCACACATATGTCATACCACCCAAAATTCAGTGCCAACCCAATGAATGTATAAGTGGACCTGTTTTCATTTATAGCAAGCAACTCTATTTCCCTCTACAAGCCACCAATTTTTTACCTAGAATCCCTTTTTCATTTTACAGGCCACATATTTTCATCATATTTAGTTGAATTGTTTTTTTTCAGTTGCTTATTTTAATTATACATATTTCACATACTAATGAAATCATCCAGTAATTGTCTTTCGAGTCCTTACCTGTTTTCTTATCATAGTTACGTCAGCATTCATATATCTTGGGGAAGATCTTCTCCCAAGATGTATGAATGCTGAGGCAACTATATATTCACTATATCATCCTTTAATAGCACAACAGTTATTCAGTCATGTTTCTATAACAGTTTCTACTACATAGTCATTTTACAATGGGAATTTAAATTGATGTCATATTTTGGCTATTGTGAATATTTAAAATTTTAAACAAGTTTTAGTGGTGATGTAGAGAAAAGGGAATTATTGGACACTATTTGTATAAATGTAAATTTGTGGAATATCTACAGAAGACAGTAGGGAGATTTGTTAAAACAACAACAACTACTACAGGAAGCAACATTAAAATTTGGGTGCAGATATATTACATTAGATAAAGTGCTTTCCTTGCACATGGATAATTCAAGTTCCATTCCAGGTACGCTACACAGTCTTCTTCATGCATCCAGGACTGACCCCTAAACATATGGCAATTGTACGCACTGAGCACTGCCAGATGTGGCCTCTGAAACCAAACATAAATAAATTGATAAAATTACATATTATTCTGTAATACAACACTTAGGCTTTCATTCAAATGATATGAAAATACTCATTAAAATATGAGGGGCTGGAGTGATAGCACTGCGGGTAAGGCGTTTACCTTGCACGTGGCTGACCTGGGTTTGATTCCCAGCATCCCATATGGTCCCCCAAGCACGGCCAGGAATAATTCCTGAGTGCATGAACCAGGAGTAACCGCTGTGCATCGCTGGTTGTGACCCAAAAAGAAAAAAAAAATGATATTTACATCTTGATTCTCATTCTGTGTCTCTTTCTTATATTTCTAATCTGCTTCTTTCCTTGAAAGACTCATTTATAAGGAACCTGTAGATTTTATGAAATTTTAGCTTTTATCAGGAGAAAAACTGCCAGTTGAAGAAACATGTATTTACCTCTGTTTATAATATAAAGATTTATTATAATTTCTTCAGTGAGCCCTCTAGTATTACATAATCTTAGACTTGGAAGCATATTTACTTAGAGAAGCATATTTACTTACATAGAGATTCTCTCTATCATCTAAATGTTTTTCATTAATTTATGGCTCACTCTCTTCTCCAGGCAGAACTTATGTTAAGTCTTAATAGCCCCAAATTAAACATGAAAGTTTTGAGAGAAGATTTTCTTCTTTCAAAAAAAAAGATGCTTTTAATGTGTAATAAGAGACCCAGGACTCCATACATGCAAGGTGAACACACTTTCCACTGGGCTATAACTTCAGTCATTGATAAATTGATTGAAGTGGGCATGAACTTCACAACCATAAGATTTTATTTTATTTTTTATTTATTTATTTATTTATTTATTTTTTTATTGAATCACTATGGGAAAGGTTACAAAGCTTTCAGGTTTAGGTCTCAGTCATGCAAATATCAAACACATTTCCCTTAACCAATACTTATTTTTTACCATGAAGAACCCCAATAAAACCCCACCCCCCACCCCTCCCCGTCCCTGTGAGGCAGATGAATTCTAGTTAACACTCTATCTGCTTTGATTAGATTCATTGTTTCAATAAAAGTTTCACCACTATTATTTAGAGTTTACCCCCTTCATGGGAAGGGGGGCATTTCGGTCCGCCCTTCACGCCCTATCGAGGCCACCAGTTGCCCCCCACGAGCGGCTCTCCAGCATGGCCACGACTCCAGAACACAGAAACCAATTTCTTAACTATCTGACTTTCAGTAGAAATACTTCCAGGGTCAATAGGTAAAATAACAGAAATCCAAAACCAACATTTAATTCTTGAACCCAGCTGTAGAAAGCAAATCACTTCACAACCATAAGATTTTAAAAGTATTGTTCTATCCTGTTGTTGCAGTATAAGAGGTCAAACTCTGAAGCTGTGGGGGGGTAGCAATGGCACAGCATGGAGTATTAGAAAATATTGAAATATATATAAATACACACATATAATAATTACATATACTATAAAATGCATTATATTAATTACAATATTTATGTACACAGACATATATAGACATGTGTGTATATATATCACAAGAGGTAATACATATATATATATCACAAAACAAATAAACAAACACTGTCCTTCCATTGTTCATCGATTTTGCTCGAGTGGGCCCAATAACGTCTCCATTTTGAGATTTGTTGTTACTGTGTTTGGCATATTGAATATATCATGGGTAGCTTGACAGGCTTTGCTGTGCAGGCGAGATACTCTGGGTAGCTTGCCGGGCCCTCCGAGAGGGGCGGAGGAATCAAACCCGGCTAGGCCAGGCAAATGCCCTACCACTGTGCTATTACTGTGCTATCACAAAAGGTTTCTAAATTAAGCCCCCAAACACTTTAAACATAAATTGAAGAGGCTTTTTTAACTCATAATGAGTTCCCATTACTGAGGTATTAAGGTGAGTTAGAGTAATCAGCTCTAGTATATTGTCCAGTAAATTGTGCATCATAAGGAAATTAGAGAATATGACCTTCTGAAAATGATGCATTTCATGGTTTACTCAGTCTGAAGTTTTATATTTTGGTGATGAGATTAAGTATACCACAATGCTTTTTACTCAAAATCCTTTTCCTAAGATATGTTCCTGATATAATAATATCACATACCAAGACTTTACTTTTGTGAATAGGAAGCTATTGAGGTATTCTGGTATAAGTTTCCCAAATGAATCAAAGCTATTTTAGGTATCACACAGTCTAAATAATGTTCAAAGGGTCTATCTCCCACCAGTGCTTGTAGGTGGTCCTCTGAGTCACTCCTGGAGATGCTTTTCCAGTGGGGCAGGACTTATTTCTCAGTCTTTGGGCTAGTGATACAGTACCAGGGCTTAGAGCTGAGATTTAACATTTTGAAAGATAATTATTCTGTGGTGTAGGATAACACTGGTTTGTCCTTTCTCCCTTGCCATGGGGAGCTTAGGTTTATTGAGTTACACCCATCACAGTGCTCCTGAGTCACTCTCATTTCTTTGTTTATCAGAAAGCTCTTCTCTGTGTGCTCCTCCCCAATCAGTTAATCACCTTTTCCCGCTAATTAAATTCTGTTAACTTGTAAGATCAGATCCTTCTAAGGACACTAAACTTGTATTGTAAGTTAAATATTCCTTTTCTCCTTCTTTCATGTCTTTTACATAGTTTACTTTAAAGCAATGTCCTTTTTGTATGGACACAGAAAGACAGTTAATATTATGCTATTGTAATTTGAGAGTTAATTGACTCCAAATAATATTAACTCCCGGACATCTGCTTTCTCAATGTAAGCCTCAGTTGCCCTTAGTTCCTAGTACCGCAAAAGCAGGGTCCCGATGATGGACTGAATGTACCCAGGGCAAGCTGTGAGCTACCCTGGCTTCGAAATGGGCCAGGCTGAAGCATTACAATA